AAATAGAAATGGATCATGGTTAAATGAAGTCTAAGGAGAAAACATCAGAAAAAGTGCAAAACATATTATCACTAAAAATGACTCATAAACTTGAAGTCATTGTTGAGTGGAATATTGAAAAAATTCAAAGGAAAGGTAAAGATATGTGCTGCTTTAAAAAATTCTTCTCTAAACATGAATTTATAAAGCTCATTTAAAAATATGCAATTATCAGCCAAGATGCCCCACCACTGATGAATGGATTAAGAAAATATGGTATCTATACACAATGGAATTTTATGCAGCCATGAAGAACGAAATGTTATCATTCGCTGGTAAATGGATGGAATTGGAGAACATCATTCTGAGTGAGGTTAGCCTGGCCCAAAAGACCAAAAATCGTATGTTCTCCCTCATATGTGGACATTAGATCAAGGGCAAACACAACAAGGGGATTAGACTTTGAGCACATGATAAAAGTGGGAGCACACAAGGGAGGGGTGAGGATAGGTAAGACACCTAAAAAATTAGCTAGCATTTGTTGCCCTTAATGCAGAGAAACTAAAGCAGATACCTTAAAAGCAACTGAGGCCAATAGGAAAAGGGGACCAGGAACTAGAGAAAAGGTGAGATCAAAAAGAATTAACCTAGAAGGTAACACCCACACACAGGAAATTAATGTGAGTCAACTCCCTGTATAGCTATCCTTATCTCAACCAGCAAAAACCCTTGTTCCTTCCTATTATTGCTTATACTCTCTCTACAACAAAATTAATAATAAGGGCAAAATAGTTTCTGCTGGGTATTGAGGGGGTGGGGAGGAGAAGGAGGGGGCAGAGTGGATGGTAAGGGAGGGGGTGGGGGTAGGGGGGAGAAATGACCCAAGCCTTGTATGCACAAATGAATAATAAAAGAAAAAATAAATAAATAAATAAATAAAAATGAAATTACTCTGTGCTTAACAAAGAATTCTTCAGTAAAGTAACTTTAAATAGCATTTCCCAGTAGGGAATGACAGTAGATTTGGAATCAAAGCTTGAGTAGAAATCCCTAGCCAACACTCTGAGACATTTAACTGTCAGCCATAAACATCCTGAGACTCAATTCCATTACCTGCATATGGAGATAATTAACATCCACTCCACCCCAACGCTACTGGGCCACAGCAGGTGTGAAAGTGCTTAAAGTATAAAATGCTAAATAATAAGACAGCTGATAATCTAAGAGGTACTGAAGTCAATTTTTTAGAAACAGATCTATCACATTATGGAATTCAGATTCTCATACAAGTTACTTAAGTCTCCAGAAGGGTGATGTAGATTTTAGAGGGAACTGAATAACTGAAAGTATGGTGCCCAAGCATGTGGTGAAGATGACAAAAGGGCTGATTGTGGTCAAGGACACAAATGGAATGTTTTGCTATAAACACTGCATGTTCCAGCTCCTGGGTCCTCCATTATGGAGGACAAACCTCAGCAATTTTCACATGGCCTCTGGCCTATAGAAAAATGGCTTATAAATTATCTATCTTAATATCCAGCTTTTCACTACAACAGAAGGGCACAAAACCTAACCAAATTAAGATCTATGCTGGTTTCTCATGTACCCAGTAAAATGATTTAAGGATCATTTTTATCAACTTCTCATGGCCAAAGATCTTCAAAACCAGGGGAGCATGCAAGGACCAAGACTTAACACTGAACTGTTACCTACACCCGTTATATGTTCTATGTTATCAGAAAGAAGGTATCTCCATACTGTAGATTTATTTGAACATCTAGATGTAGATGAACAGTTTCCTATCAAGATTAAACTTTGCTACTGTTATGGTTTGGATTTTAAATGTAAACTAAAGGCCATGTGTTAAAGGCTTGGTTGCCAGCCGTAGCCCTCTTGGAAGGTGGTAGAATCTTTTGTGGGTGGCGCCTACTGGAAGGAAGGAAGGAATTTAGGCCCAAGCCCTTGAAGGGAATTTTGGGACCCTCTCCCACTTCCCAGCCACCATGAGGTAAGCAGTTTCTGTACCACATGCTTCTACCATGATATACTGCCTTGCCATGCACATCTATATGACAGCTGCTATTTGCCCTGAACTACAAAGCTGGACACCTGTATGTTTTGAGCTTTTTTTTAAATGAAAAACAAGTGAACAAATAGGGACTTTTCTGCTTCCTGACTGATTCACACAGCAGTTTACTTCTATACTAGATGAAGACTAAAAATAATCTTGTACAGCCTTCATCTAGTTTTTATTAAACAACATATGTAAAATGTTCACACCAGATTTTTTTTTAAAGCTGACACTGTTAAATATTGCATCTCCCTCTCACTTGTCAAATTTTTTACTTTTCATAATTTCCAAATTGAAAAATGTGGGGATTATGCTCAAAATACCCATCATACAACAGCAGTTTTCTTGCACTTCCAGATGGAATCAGGGTGGTGGTGGTATTGGTGGTGGTAAGATGTCCTGGTACCTCTGCTTTCAGTGCCACTTTCTTCCTCATTCCATCCCAGTGCCCCACTTCCCTTCTTGAATATGCTTCCTGCCCAACACTGACAACCATGCAATGACTCAAGATAAGTACCTTGGCCAGGTTCCCCAAGCTGCACCCTCATAAACTAAATTAGACATGCTCTGATTCAATTAATAAATTCTACACAAGACTCATCATAGGCAAGACACTAGGGTAATTAAAAAAGGCCCAGGACACAGCTGGTGTAGTCTAGCTAACAATCTTATTTAACACTAAGGCATACTCAAGAAACTATAAAACCTTCAGCACAATTGTCACTGGGAATATTACCACTGTTGTGGGACATGAGGAATTGTGTGCTGTGCACTGGTATCCTTTCCACGGACTTGGCCTTAGCATCACATGCGACTATCTCCTCCCAACCAAGGGCACGCTAGTATGTATAAGCTTATTCAGGCAAAAGTGCCTAGAAAATGGTATTCCTAGTTTATTAAGGTGAAGAAAAAGGTGAGAAAGTCTTTAAGTTTAATAATAACCTGCAGAGTGGCTGTACTGCCTAACTCTGTGGGTCCTATTTATCAAGGCTCTGGGTTGGCAGTTTGAGGTTAGTAAAAAGCTGAGGCAGACAAAGGTTACTACTTCTGAAGAACAGTATGTGAGGCAACAAGACTATCATAAGCTTGGGTATTGTATTAGCTTGTGGTTTTTATCATATATATACCTGGGGCACATCAGAGGTCATATCTGACAGGTAACCAATCAGAACTGTCCTAACTCTGTGATCGAAGAGCTGAATGGCTCTTGCTAGTCTTTATTTCTCCACACGTGACAAGCGAGTTACTGCATAGCAAATATCTCCAAATCTAAATTGTAATGATTCAGGGTTGGTTTAGATATTTACTTTTTATTTAGAAATACTGGCACCAACGTGGGAAACGAGGAATTTGAGTGTAGCCAATATTGCTATTGTTCAGTAGTACTCTCAATATTTACCACAGAGAAGATGTTTTACAGTTTTCCCCTCAGATATGAGTATAGATTTTTGGTATTTTTCAAGTATAATTTTAGTAGCATACTTTTAGGAGTGGAACAGAATCAAATTAAATTTTCCCACACCAAGTAGACCCCTTTTCTTCCAGTACGCAGGATCAAGTCAACTCTTTAGCAGAAGAGTGAAACAAAAATTGAGGAAGTTATGATTCTAAAGACAAAAGAATAGGGGAATTACCCACTTTGAAAAAAATTAACGGCCTAATTCTGACAAAATAGGTTATATAATATAGACTATGTTTGCTGAACTTTTTCTTGGATAGTAGTTTTTGAGCACACACCTGGAGTTTTGGAAGACACTATTCTAAAATAGCATTCCTAGTTTCTGGCTGGCAAAACAAATAGCTACTGGTGTGAAATAGTATTATTTCTAAAATGGAAATGGGAGCCCTGACACCTGGTTCACACCTACAATCCTAGGTACTTGGGAGGCTGACATTGGGAAAATTGAGGTTTGAGCCCAGCCTGAGCAAACAGCTTGAGAGACACTCCCCACCCCCCATCTCCAAAATAAACAGAGCAAAAATGGACTGGAGTTATGGCTCAAGTGGTAAAGTGCCTACTTTATAAGCACAAAGTCCTGAGTTTAAACCTCAGTCCCACCAAAATAAATAAATAAAATAAAATGGAAATGGAAGAGATTGAGACTTAGAAAGTAGTGTGAAAGATGGAAGATGAGAGGTATGGGAAAATATGAGAAAATTATGTAGTACGGTAATGAGAAAAGTTCTACAACAAGAGAGAAGAAACTGAAAGTTCCCTAAACACATGGCTACCTTTGATAACTTATTATTATGAAAGTAACCTTGGCCTTTTGTGTGAGCTAGCAGGCTTTAATGTAGATTAATTTTGCATAGACCAGATCCAGGTGATTTTATGCCCTGTTTCCTCTTAGTCTGCTGGTGTTCAATGAAACTCTTATGTCTTTTTTTGCTGCTTCCCCCCGCACCCCCCCTTTTTTTTTTTTTAACAGCTCTGTTCCCTTAATGTTCAATATTCAGGATGTAAGTACTCATCATTATTAGCTACTGTCTTAAGAAATATCCTTTATAAAGTCTAGTGTGGTGATCCAAGTCTGTAATCCTAGCACTCAGGAAGCAGAGGCAGGAGTATCATGAGTTTGATGCCAGCATGAGCTACATAACAGGACTCCTTCTCAAACAAAACAAAACAATCCTTAATAAAATTTAATTTCTAAGGCCTTTCAAAAATATCTCGATAATTAATTGTATACTGTTTTTTTTGAGAATGTTTCACTATGTTGCTGGCATGAAACGATCCTGTGACTAAGGTGTGCGCCACTATGGCCAGCTTGAATATTTTTTATTTTAAGCTTTCTTTCTCCCTTACAAAAATAAAATCTTCTTTTCTAATACTGCCTCCTATTCCTATCCTTTGTTTTTCTTTTTAAGAACACTGGTTTCTTCACCTTTTTCAATTCGTTAATGTTCCTTTCTACAGACTCAAGTATAGAACGGAAAGGGTAACACTTACCACATTAATAGGGGGTCTTTTGAAGTAAAATGGTAGTTTTTCTGTCACAGTTATACAGACTAAATCCACATCTAAATGTGTGCAAGCAACCTGTCAACAAGAAAAAAAAATAGATAAGGCTAAAGAGAAAATTGGCACAAGTAAGAATGAGGGAAAGGGTCATATCTGATATGAACAAACATGAATGGGCATTCCATAGGTTTTATGATCGCCCTGTGTTGAGATATATCTGACCTGTTAAAAGGCCAGTTGTTTAGCCCACTACTTGGTGTGGATGGATTAATATAATCTAGCTGAAATGGAGTGTTATGTGCACAGACATATGGACATGTCTCAAAAGAAAGAACCTGGAGACCTTCTAATTCATATGGTCTTATACATAGGGATGGGCTGATGAGTGAGGCTCAGTATGTGAAAGGTACTTCAGATTGTAACTGTGCATTACAATTTACAATCGTCCTAAGCCTGTAGTTTCAATCAGTTTATTGAGTGGCAAAAAAGAAACTGAGCATGACACCACTGATGATATATAATTCAAATACAAAATAAATGGTTAAAGCACAGCTGTTGCGAATCAAATGAAAATGAATACATCTTTAAACTTTTAATTTCCCTTTCCTTTATTTTTTGCTGTTCTTTGTTGATCAAATCTCTCTTAAAGAGATTTATAACTGCTTACAAAAGCCACAGAAAAATAAAACAGATAAAGCAATGAAAATAAATGGAAAATCAGGGAAGGAAAATAAAGTTGGGAAAAGGTTGTAAGAACAGAGTGCCTAGCTAACTCTACCATTATTTGACTTGTAGAGGTAAAAAGAATTGGCTGTTTTGTACTGTACCAACAATGCTGGTGTATATAGGCTTGGAGAACAGTTTTAAATTGTCTTGGTGGCTATGCTAGCAAACCAGCTTCAGTGGCACAAACAAGAGAAAGGGTAGAGTAAGGAAGATGGGGAAAGCAGGGTAGTAACACCCTATAGGATTGGTGCCAACCTTCAGATCAACAGGGATACCATATCTCACTCTTTTTCTTCAGAATGCCCACCATGGGGCTTTCCAAAGCAAGTGGTGATCAGAGGTTGTATGGCTTTAAGATAGTCATAATAACTTAGTAAGCCTGGGAAGCAATGTTGTTTTGGCACACACTTGGCACATCAAAAATCTGGCCCATCCCAACTGCTCCAGCTGCTTAATTCATAAAAGTCACTGAAAATTTGATAAGAATGAGAGCTCTGAATAGTAACTGAAATAAATTCAGCTTCTGTTGTTCATCTTAAACTATCAAACTGGCAAATATCAAAACGTTTAATGATACACTGCTGACATGAGAATAATAAAGAGACAACTCGCTGGCTTCTAAATCTAAATGGTCTTTAAAGCACTTTAGCTATCTGAATTTTAAATGATCACACCAGTAATTTTACCTATAGGAATGTACTCTACAGAGCCTCCAGAACTGTATTCTATAGCTATAAACTCTACATAGGCTAGGTGCAACAGGGCAAGGACAGTCATTGCAATACCAATTACAAGAGAGTAGACAGATTTAACTATCTCTCAATTTTACTCAAATTATGATCTCTTTAAAGGAAATGAGGTGCATCTCTAGTTCATATTATGGAACAATCTCCAAGATAATACTATAAGGTGAAAAAAGCATGGTGATAGGAAGGAAAGGAAGAGGAAAGAATGAAGGAATAAAGGGCTAGGTAAACAGAATTTCTGAAAAGGCACACATTCTGAAAAGAATGTTAGTAGTGGTTGCCTCTGGAAGAAAGAGGGAAGGAGTTTGAGATGGGAAAAAGGCATACTTTTCATGTATGCCACTCTGTACTATATGAATTTATTATCATGAACATAAATTATTTTTTAATAAAAAGCTGATTAGAGTTTTAAAACCCTGTTAAATGTTCTCCCCCAAATAAAGCTATATTAGTCTACTTTTTAGTTATGTATTGCTCCTTTCTGTCTCTCTCCCATAGGAGTAGCCAATTAAATAAGGTATCAGTATTCATTTAAGTTCCATTTGGCTTACTCTGACACATGGAATTTAAAATGTCCCAAACTGAATTCTTCTGTTATTTAGGTTTTTATCAACTCAAAGTTTGTTTTTTGGTACATTTAAAGAACCACAAAATTCAGGCATACTAGCACAAGTCTGTAATCCCAGCACTCAAAGGGCTGAGGCAGGAAGATATTGAGTTTGAGGCCAGCCTGGGCTGCATAAATGAGACCCTATCTTTAAAAAAAAGTAACGAAATGAGTTAACGTTCACATTATATAGTTTTGGGGTTAAGAATCTTGTAACTAGAGGTAGGGATGTAGCTTAGTGCTTGCCTAGTATGCACAAGGTTCCTGTACTGCAAAAAGAGGGGCGGGGAAGGGGAGGAAGAGCCAAAATTATCTTTAGCCACAGTGGTAGGCACATGCCTATAATTCCAGCACTTGGGAGGCTGAAGCAGGAGGATCTTAAGTTGAGACAAGACTGAGCTGCATAGTAAGATCCTGTCTCAAAAAATTGGTAGACTACAAATTAATTTGTATTAGTTGTCTTGAACTATTTTTTGTTTGCTTTTAGCTAGTGATACCTATGACTAAAGGAAAGTATATTTTCAGAAAAATGCGCACACACACACACACACACACACACACACACACACACATATACACACAAACACTTTTGCCTTTACGGCACAAAGAAAACAGGAAGGTAGGGGTTCAGAGTCCCTTCTATCACCTAAACTTCTTTGGTAGGTGTCAGCTAATATAATGGTTAAATATTATACAAGGAAGAGTCAGGTTACCAAGAGAAAAGAGTTACCCATAAAAAGTGGCTTTCAGCCATAGGTGTATACAAAACTCCCCTGAAAAACTAAGTAAAAGTAGACATTGCCAGGTCCCAACTCCAGTGATTCTTTTAGTAAGTAGGGCCTAATAATCTACATTTTAACAAACATGTCAGGTAAATCTAAAGCTGGAAGACTAAGGCCTCCTCCTGAGAAACACTGCCTTGAAAACTCCCCTCTTTCAGATCCTCTACAATAGTGCCTTGCAAAGGCAAGGCATGGAAGAAAATAGAACAGGAAAAAAATAGAACTTCTATTTCTATATATTTCTAAAATCGCTTTCTTAAAATTAGTTTTGTTCTGTGTGTATGTATAATTTTACAAAGTATGCTGGAACATGCAAATAATTTATAAGAAACATACACACACTGAGAAGTAGGCTCGATATATTTAAAATAGTAGGGTGCACAATCAAGTGGTTTGGAGATCACTGGACTAAATTACCTGGACTCGCCTCTAGCCTGCTCACTTACTTTACCTCCTAATGGGAAAAACTGACTTGGAAGCTCCTAAAGCTTCCAAGTGTGTAATGTTGCATAGTTAACCCCATCTCAAGGAGCCCTTGGCCAGCAGACACCTGCCCTTCTCACAATCTTTAAACTTTGCCATGGGGTAGCCATGGAAAGGGAGGATGTCTTATGCATGAGGCAGTTTCCAGATACCCTCAGTGAAAAATAGCAAGCTATTTTCCATAGAAATGATGCTATTTAATGTGGTTAGATCCTACGTTAACTGTTAATGTATATGTATATGTTTTTAAGACTCATGTTAGAAATCTAACTTAACTTTAGAATATCACATGTAAAGAATTCTGGGTAATCAACTTACAAACAAAATAAATACTATCACTTATGGATTGCAACCAACTACCTGTATCTGACCTGGTTTCAAACCATGATATATTTATAAAAGCTTATGATTAAAAGAAAGGTTTTTCTTTTCTTGGTGGTACTGGGATTTGAACTCAAGAGCCTGGATCTTGCTATGCAAGTGCTCTACCACTTGAGCCATGCCTCTAGCCCAAGAAAGATGTCCTTTTAAATTGATTTTCAATAGGACACTGGGAGAGCTCTAATTTGAAATGAATCCTAAAGAATGAGTAAGATTTGGACAGAGAAGAGGAAGATATTCCAATTTTAAAAACTGTGTTCTCATGCAACTTTTTGAATACTGGTCAGTTCCAAACAAACACTTTGTGAATTATTTAGAACTTTCTTCCATCTCCCAAAGTATTTCTAATGGTTCCACCCACCACCATCAAGCATGTGTTCATCAAATTCAAACTTGAATAGCTGAGAAAAACAGGTAATTAAATAAATGAGCAAGATAAGACTGCTACATAAAATTATATGTTTTAAAAACCCAAAAGTCCTATCTCTACTACTTACTGGGAAACTTACAGAAAATCATTTAGCCTAAGCCTCAGTTTTCTCCACTATAAAACAGAGGTAGTAATAAATCTATCCTGATCATCCTACAGAATTGCTAAAGGAAATAAATATGTAAAAGTCTTTGGCCAGGCAGGGTGGTGCAAGCTTGTGATGCCAGCTACTTGGGAGGCTGAGGCAAGAGGATTCCAAGTTTGAGGGCAGCCTGGGCAACTTATGAGTCCCTGTCTCAAAACAAAGTTAAAAAGGCCTGGAAACGTAGCTCAGTAGTAGAGGTTCAGGGACTTGAACCTCAAACAAAGAAACAAGTCTTTGGAAGATTATGCAAGTATGTTTTGCAGCCAAAATGCTACCTAATTACCAGTAAAGAGCTATAGAAATGTAAGTTATATGATCTTAAAAATCAATTCTAAAGCAAATATAAAAATCTTGGTACATCACCAACTTTTAGTATGAGTTTATTTAATAACAAAACTAAGTTGTGGTTAACATATTTGAAAATGCCCATGGTCTACCTGTAGCATACTTCAGTGATTTCAGCACTGAATCCAACTTTCTTGTGGAACTTGAGAAAATAGATATACAGATTCACCTCCAACCCTACCAGTGGTGAAGACTGAATGTGCCCAATTTATAAAGTTCCACAGAGGTCTTTGATGACTAAGAACTACTCACTTTTACTCATCCCTTTAACTGAAATGAAAGTCCTGAGAATTACTGTAATTTTACATTTTATAAACAAGCCACCAAAAAAATAGTTTAGGCATCCACCATGGATACATGGTGTTTTCCTCTATTAATATAGAGAACTAAAGTCACAAAATGCCAGCCTCCTTAGTCACTACCTCCATCTACTGGTGAATAGGAAAAATTCCTTCTGCAGTTTTAGAACATACTGCTTAAACACATTTTGAGATACACTTTTGGCAAATGGATCCTTTCTTGAGCCTAGATAAAGGATAACTTTCAGCACTTTCTAAAAGTAGCTATACCTCATTTTATAGTAAAACCTATTGCTAAAAAATTGAATTACAGGTTTTATTCCCCCCAGTATTGGGGATTGAACCCAGGGCCTTCAACTACACCAAAAACCCTGATGTTTTTTCTTTACTTTATTGTATTCATTTAAAATACCCAGCAAGTTCTGTCTCAAGTTGACAAAATGAGGGGACATGTTAAGCTCTTTTCTCTCCTACAAAAGCACTGAAATGGCAATTTTAAAAGGACAAAAGAAATTTGATTCATAATGACTCTCAGAATAAGAAAGGGAATCATTAGTAGATGGGTGATTATGAATAATTTCTGGAAGACCAAAGGCTATGGGCTACACCTCAAGAGCATGCAAAGGAGGAAGCTAAAACAGAGGGAGGAGCTTTTAAGCTATAGTAGAACCTTGTATTTTTCTTCCATTGCAGGCAGCAGTAGAAAATAAGAAGGCCAGAAACTGAAGTGACTTTAGAGTAAGAAGGGACAGATCAGCATTTGCGTAAGAGAAGTTTCAAATGAATGAAGCAGAGATAAGGAAACAGGAGACAACTTGATGGGCTCTTTCAAGTTGAGTTCATCAAATGTTTAACATTTGAATAAAAAAACCAAAACCACATGCCACTTAAATATACCCTATGAAATTCCAGAACTCTAGGTGTAAATGCAAGTCCTAAAAGTTTTCAGACAGGATGAAACAGCTCACCCACAAAAGCACAATATCAGACTTACATAAAAGAGTAACTCTTCTCTTTAACTTATCTGTTACTTACATGAAAAAGTTTTTCTGTCTTTGGAAAAACTGCAACAATGTCATACAGCCGTACTCTTGAAGAAGTTGCTCTCTAGTAACAAAAAACATGTTATTATATAGTAACAAAACTTCAAATTCTGCCTAGTAATCTAGCTACACTTAACACTTCAATCATAGGCCACTTCTAGTGTTTCTGTTTAACTTTGTATGCGGCAGAAAGAACATGAAAACTCAGATAACAGTATCTCCTCCTTCTTCCATTCTACACTTCTTAAGTGTGTACCAAACATTGTGTTTGAGATGTCAAAATCAAAGACAGTCCTTGACCTTTTTGTTTGTTTGAGACAGGGTCTCCCTATATAGTTCACTCTGGCCTTGAACTCAAAATCGTTCCCCTGCTAGAGCCTCTTGAGTACTGAGATTACAGGTGTGCACTACTCTGCCTGGCTGACCTTTAATTACAAACTAGTGGAAGAGCTTATCAGCACTTGCTATATGCTGGGCATTGGGGATACAATGTCACGAAGGCATGCATCTGTCCTCAATGGAATTCGCTGTTTGTTTTTTTTTATGCATAAAAATATTTACAAGACTATATGTCATGTATTCTGTGCAATGGTTAAGTGTGATTCAATTAAATTCACAAAGAGAATACTGTTAAACACAAATTAAAATGCCAGATATGCAGGAATATACCTGAGAGTCCTAGGGCAGGAGAAAAACACACTGGTAAAAGATAAAAATTTAGTGTTTAAGAAAGTAAATCTCAAACCTCTAATACGTGAGTCTGTATATGAAGACCAGGAAATATATATTCAAATGTTCAATCCCGGAAAGCTAAGATAACATGTGATATTTCTTCTTTGCTTGTTGGTACCATCAAAATTTTTATGACTTATTTCATTAAAAGACAAGGCATGTTTAAAAGAAGCAGTAGTTGCCTTGCTTAAGCAGTAAAAGAGTGTATTGTGCACATCCGTGCTGTTACAGAGTAGTTTGCAATTCTTTTAGCTCCATTTATGCTTACCTGGACCAAAATAATCAAAATGTTGTTTTGTATCTATATAAAAGGCTAAACTTTTACTTTTCACAAGCTCTTCATCAATGCTAATTATCATGAAGTGGGCCAGTCTTTCCTTGATCACCCCTGTTTCACAACAGATGTTCATTTTAGATAAAGATAAATCAGGGATCTCACTTTTTATCTAGCCCACTTGATTTTTCCTATCATTAGCCACACTCAAATCGCTCTCAATTAACAAATGAAATCTCTTCACATAGCAAGCTTTCATCCACCAACTAACTGGTGCTTTCCTTAAAAAAAAAAATTTTTTTTTAATTGTTGTAATGGATGGGGGTATATTGATACCTGGTGCTTTCGGTTCTCCTATGGGTCAAACTTCTCAAGCAAAGTTAGTAGTATGCACCATCTGTGTTTTCACTCATTTCTATCATATCTGTGGAAATGACTTTTGCTCAGGCAGCTAATGATTTTCTCATCAATAAATCCAACGCTTCTTTTTTTTTTTTTTTTCTGAATGCTTCTCATGCTTGACCACTCAGATATATTGATGCTGCTGACTTTTCCTGCCTCTTTCCCATATTCTTTCTTATTGGCCTTCTAGGGCCATCCCTCCTTAGTCTCCAACCCTTGCTCATCCTGTCTACCATTAAATGGTGAACTTTCTCTGGACTGTCCTATATCTCCTCTTGCCACAAGGCACTCCCAGCAGGGAGTCTCATCTATTCTCATGATTTTTATTACTCTCTGTAGGTGACCGAAACAGCTATCTTTAAACACCTTATTTCCCACTGTCCATTTGATAGGCTCTATTGGAATCTGTTTTCAATGAAAAACAGTTAAGAAGAGATTCTTTAATTATGGCATCACTATACATGTGCCACAAACAGAAAAGACATAGTTACACAATGTGACTTCTACAGATAGGAATAGCAGGTGGGTGTCATAGATTATGAGGGTGTCCCAGTTGTTAGGATGGAGTTAGATGAAATGCAACAATTTTAAACAATATACCTTACAAGGCCAAAAGGAAAGAAGAAAAACAACTTACCAAAACATTGCAGTGAGATGGATCTGTAACTATAATTGTCAATCTAGTTAAAATCTTGATTGGTTTTGATTTTCCCTGTAAATAAAAAAAATGCCATCAAAAAAGCATAAAACACAACTGATTAATTTTCTCTTTAGCCATGCAAAGCACTCATTAAAAGGTACTAGCTACAAGGGATAATGAAGGCTACTTCTTGTTCTTCAGGAATTTATAATATGGCTAGAGAAAAAATGATGTATGTATATTAAACTACATAAAGAGATCACTTAAAAGTTGTAATCAAACAAGTACTGAATTGGTATTAAAAGAATATTTCATGAAGAGCTGAGCCTTGATGGAAAGCTACGACTGATAGGTAGTGGGAGGTGCAGTTCAGGTTAGGGAACAGCACACAAAACTGGGAATGCTTGAACTGAATAAATAGATATTATGCTTCCTAACAACAAAACACCTACCTGTACAACTGGCAAAGTTGTGAAGAGCTCAGAAACAGCTACTGGTTTTTCAATTTCCTACAACAAATGATGAACAGTTATCATAGACTATATATATTAAAGACATGAAGCATAATAGAAAATAAGGGGTGATCAGGAAAAGTTATTTTTCAAAGAAAGAAAGCTAATTCCTGGTACTGAAAGGACTAAGTAAACTTCTCCTTTTCCTTGGATTTTTTTTTTTTTTAAGGAAACCGAAGAGCAGAGAAGTAGCTAAGAACGTAAATGAATTAAAAGGATAAAAACTAATTTTTATAAAGAAATAATGTATATGATACAGTTTTTGGCCTCATGAGATATATATGTATTTACTAGCCTAAGAGAAAAATCACAGTCCATGACCAAAAAAACACCCACCCCCACCCCCCACAAAATATTGTGGTTACAGTTCAGTTAGTAACAATGTACTTCTAAACATTATTGAAAATAATTTACTGAACACCAGTTCAACATAAGGAATCCTTACACTATTGTCAGAACACTTCACAAAAACCTTAATCATTTGCATAATTGTGTACCAGCTCAATTTTTAACATAAAATAATAGGGCACAAAGAGAGTATATTTAAGAGATACACTTGTTGTAGCTTCCATATTCCCAATATAAACACAGATAATTATTTTCTTGTTTTTTTTTTAATTATATTACTGTTGTACTGGGGATACACTGTGACATTTACAAAAGTTCTTACAATACATCATAGTTGAATTCACCTCTTCCATCGTTCTCTTTTATCTCTCCTCCCCCCAGTCCTGGAATAGTTTCAAAAGATTTGTTTTTCATTTACATACACGAGCACATAATATTTCCACCACATTTCCACTCCTACACCCTTTCCTTACATCCTCCCCCATTCCACTGGAACCAACCTCCCCAAACAGGACTTGTTTTGCCTTACTGTTCTGTTTTTGAAAAAAAAAAAAAGACAATTTTGTTTGTTTAAGATAGTTAGACAAAGTGTTTCATTGGGACATTTATATATATATATATAATACCCAAATTGGTTCATCCCCTCTATTTTTCTCCTTTCTTCCTTAACCCCCTCTTATGGTGATTTCAACAAGTTTAAAAATTCTATATTCATTCTTATATAAAAAGTACATCAACCATATTCACCTCCGTAACTTCCTTCTTTTATCTTCCCTCTCCCATTAGTGGTCTCCCCTTAACATAACCTGTTTTTCATAATATTGCTTGTATTTAAACACAGAAAATTATAAATACTTAATATTTACTAAGAAATTTTTATTTTACCTGTTTCTTTTCCTTAAAGTCAATAACATGATTGATCGCAACAACTGAATATCCAACTGAAAAAAAAAATTCTTGTTAATTATTCTCTTCTTCCTATACAGACAGCCCATCCTGAGTCTAGATGTTAAGATTAAGATATGAGACTGGGGGTGTAGCTCAGTGGTTGAGTGCTTGCCTAGCACACACAGGTCCTGGGTTTGATCCCTAGTTAAGGAAATAAAAGACTAGGAGGCAATTTAGCAGAGAAGTTATAGGTGGGAACTCTGTTTTCAAGTCTTAAGTATTACGATTTACAAAATTATTTAAATTTAGGTTTTAGGTTCTTTTTCTGTCAAATGGTGATGATTAAGTCATGAACATTAATTTTCAGACATGAAAATTAAATAATACATGTAAGGTGTTTTACAACAATGCCAAGAACACAGTCAGGCTGTGATGTATTATTAGCATGATGCTAAGGACTCTTAACTTTGTGCTTCTGCTTTCCAATCATGTCCCTTTGCCCATTTGTATCCCAACAGGTTCGTACCTCTTTACTGCTACTTTTATTATCATTCCTTTGCCTTTTACACTTTTTATTTCCTCCCTTTCCTAATAAAAAATTGATGATGACTCCCCAAAACACTGCCCATTTCTTTTGAGCTACCCTCCATAAACAGACCGGGAACTCTTTGAGGCCAAGGGATTATTTTATCATCATCATCACAGCATCGTTCTGGACATATGACCTACCAAAAATACATCTAAATCATATCCTTAAGTTATCTAAACACAATGGGTTAACAGGGTATTAATTTTAAAAGATAATGCAAGGCAATGCCAAAACAGTGGTCCTCCCTCTCATCAGTTTGTCCAACAACAACTTCCTTCATTCCTTCCTCAAGTATTTATTGAGAATCCAATACTTGACCAGCCCATTGCCAGGTGCAGAGCATACACGTAAATAAAATAATTCTCACCCTCAAGGAGTTTATGATATATTAGAAAAGTAGGGCAATTAAACAAGTTGTTATTTATAAATAATTTTTTGATAAGGAAAGATTCTACAGAAGCACAAAGAATGAAATCTGGTTGTACAGGGTCAGAGAAGACTTCTTAGAGAAAGTGATTTGTAAAAACAAAACAGAAGATAAAAGGGAAAAACACCCATATTTGGGGCTTCACCTCTTACACAGTCTCTACATATCTTCTCTATTCTTCTTTATCACTCGCAAGGCTACGCATTTTTATTATAACCATTTGAGATACCATTTTGTCTACTGAACAATGACCAAGTAAATCATCTTTTACAAAACTTTTCCCTGAAGTACTTCTCACTTGTCACTTAGAAGTACTTCCCCAATCAGTCTCTGGTGCATTTTTTTTAAGTATATATAGCATTTATTTGAAGCTTATCATTGGTTCCTTATGCCGCATCCTAAATAAGAAAAAGGGATTAGTCTCCTTTGTTCTTTGAAAATTTCTACTTGTCAAAAGGCAGTCTTTTGGTTTTTGTCTTGTAAGTTGAGTGACTTTTTGTCATGTCATGAATTTCATTTTATTTTTAAGTGAAATAAAGACTAGCTAACAATGTACATACTTTACCACATCTCTTTCAAGCATTTATTTTTTCCTCTGTCCTTAAATTGGGGGCGATTCTCTAAATAAATAATTGTAACTTTTTAAGTTTTTTTTAAAAGTTATTCTTTTATTTATTCAATAAGCATTAACTGAGTAACTCTGCTTGCTGAGTAACTGTACTGGGAATAATAAAGGAACAGAGGACTGGAGGTGTGGCTCAAGAGGTAGAGTGCTTGATTTCAAACCCCAGTCCCACCCGCTCCACCCCCCCCAAAGAAACAGAACAGTATGTAGACCCTTTCTACAAAGCTCATGTATCCAATAAGGGGATGGCATCAGGAAGTATTACTGAGGAAGTTAATACTTGCAATGAGTTACACCCAGGAAAATTAATTTTTATGGGAACTGTCAAAAAATATTAGTGCTTAATGAACCAGATCATTCTACTGATAAGGAAAGCATATCTCAAAGAGACCATGCTAGTAAGTGTTTAAAATGATCAGAGATAGTCTTTTTCCTGTGCATACAGTCAGTCCTGCACATGTGGATTTAACTAACCGTGGGCAGAAAGTATTGGGGGAAGAGGCCAAGTGTATCCGTACTAAACATGTGCAAACTTTTTTTCCCTGTCTTTATTATTTAAATAATACATGTGCCATGCATTATATAACACCGATTTATAGCATTTACATTCTGCTAGGTGTTATAGGCACGATAGTATAATGGAGTAAGCTTGTAGGTTAAGTGCAAATACTACCCATTTATATGAGACTTCAGCATCTGTGGATTTGGGTATGGAGGGGGTGGGAAGGTCCTGGAATCAATCCCCGTGGGTACTGAGGGAAGATTCCTTCATAGAGGGGACAAGAAGAAATGGTAGTTCACTTTGCAGGAAGTGGTTGTTTCTAGCACCACCTCTGAAAATTATCATTAGTCTTTTTCTCACCATGAGTTGAGACTGTCTCTCAGAAATGGATGTTGCTGTACCCAATCCCTTTATTCTTTTATCCCCTCTATCCCACATTTTACAGCCTAAGGAAGACAAAAACCAAGATTAACTTTAATAATTAACACAATCTCATCTCTCAGAACCTTCACTTCACTTCCCTATGACTCCAGCATGAGTAACTCTCAACATTCTGGACACGCTGCCCACTCCCTCTGGTCCTATGTCCTCTGCCCCCACAATACTGTTGTCCCACTACTCACATTCCCCACGTCCTCCGCATTCTCCAAGCCCCCACATCTCTCCCTGCCTGTGCCCCATTTGCTCAGATATTGTCGTGAGAATCGGGAAGGACTGATTAAAAGCACTGGCTTAAATGAGTCCAGTCCTGCCGGACTTCTGCCGTACATCAGCTGCGGGATTCTACGCGAATCCCTGCCTCTCGTTGGGCCTGTTCTCTACCGTGCAGGAAAAACTATGCAGGAATAACAGCTCTCCGGAATCTTTCCCCGTCAGTAACCAAGGGCTCTCATCAGTCTCCAGGGACATCTTGGAGACCCAGGAAAAACCTGAACACAGAAAAACCTGGCAGAACTATCGAACGACGCCCCATGGTTTGGGGGTTGCGAGGGGCAAGCGCTGTGACCCACAAAGCCAAACAGACTCACGGTGAGCAGCGGTCTCCACGAGTCCGCGCAGGGCCTTTAGGTCTGAACCTGCTTTTAGGTCCAGATCCGCAAACACCGCCATGCTGAAGTCCCAAGTCCCAGGAACGCCCGCGCGCGCTGGTCTGCGCAGCCGCAGCCCCGCCCCTTGGGCATGCTGGGAGTTATAGTTTACCTGCACAGCCGCAGGCCGCCCCCACGGCATGCTGGGAGTTGTGGTTTACTTGCCATTTCTACCCCTTACTGCAGTTGACTTTCTCGAAACGCTGGGACTTTTGCTTGCCTTCAAGAGCCTGCCAAAATTAGTGTGTTCAGATCTGCATTTTCATTTTAGTCTTTTGTCTCCTGAATGAGACAGTTTGGTTGCCTCTGGAGGGGTTCAAATCTCCTAGGATCCGTCCTATAAAGTAATGTAAAAGTGGTTCATTCGAAACGCACGCCTAAGAGCATCTACGAAGCGCCTATCATGAACCGAACGTTTCTAACGACAGGAAGCGCTATTTTTTCTTTTTCCAAAGTCCGTGATGTTGTTTAAAATAGGATGGGGTGTGTGTGGGTAGCCGACCCTAATACCTCAACCGAGGACTGCCCTAAAAAAAGGGTCTTTTTGCCCATCTTGAACTGGCCTTGTGCAAGCCCGCCATTCTCTGTTCCCGCCAAGAGCTCCTCGGCTTTTGGCCAAGGCCGGTGCAGCGCAGTGTCTGCCACAGCCGGCGCCTTGAACCACAAGATGGCAGGGCTCCCTCGAAGATTAGCGGTTAGCTACAACACTGCTTTAGTCAAAGAGGTTTGATAAGTGAAAAACTGAAATGTTTTACAGTTCATCTGAGAAATGTACAGGGTGATGTATGTCCCACTTTTATTCTTGAAGATGGCTAGATCAATTATCTGACAACACAAAATTGTGGAACTACTCTGTCATTAATGTCAGTGCTTCTCAAACTACCTGCTAAGAAGATCCAGTCCCCTCACCCTCCATCCCCAGCCCCAGCATTTCTTAGCTGGACGGCAGGTGGTGCTTCATGCATTACCAATAAGCAGCTTCAGCCCCATGCTACCCACCATGTGAATTGTCCCATACCTGGCCCAATAAGAAGATTCCACTGATCAGGAGCTTGTATATGGTGAAAATCCCAAGTGCTCTAACATTTCTAAGCGTTTTCAATTTCTGTATTTACTGATCTCAGAAATGCACATGGTCTCCTGTCAATTGGTCTTGATTTTCGATTTCAGAAGTGAGACAGAGTTTTGCCATGTAGTCCAGGCTGGCTTCAAACTGGAGATCCTTTTGTTTCAGCCTCCTAAGTGCTGGGATTACAGGCTTGTACTACCACACCTGGCTTTGGTTAACTTTTGTAAAGAAAAAATATTTGGCCTTTTCCAATATTTGATGTTTCCTAATTAAAAACAAAGAAACAAAAATTTTACATTTGGAACAGGACAAGCACATACATTTGGAAATAAAACAACCACATACAAAACAAACCCAGTCCTTTTTTTTTTTTTTAATCAGAAAATCTAGTGTCAGTTTTTTTCAGGAGCAGCATCTTTACCTATGACCACAAAATCCAGATTGGTCAGAATATGACCGTGTAGTGAATGTGATGAGGATGACAATTATTTGATGTTAGCGTTAGACTAAAAGTGGGCTGATTTGACAGTCAAACTGACTATAACTTTTAGAATTCTTTTTCCTTTACAACCTGAGTTTCAATGAAGAGGAGAGAAAGGGCAGAAATAAAATGAATAGATAAGAACCGTGGAGCACTATATTGAGGGCCAGCCAATCTGCTAAGTACTTATGTATGTATCTCAATAATTTTCAAAGAAGCTAGGCATTAATTACTACATTTAAAAATCAACATCCACTTTTTACATCTGAGAAATCTAAAGCTTAGGTAATAGTGGTGGGACTACATATGGATTAAAGAAGTCTAGTTCAGTTCTTGCCCAGTGTACTGTCTCCTGAGTAAAGCAAGCAGAGAGGAGAACTGTGAAAGAGAGAAGAGGAAAAGAACAAGAGGAGAGAATTAGGGGAGAGAGAAGAAGAGAGAAAAAGGGAAGCAAGGAAGGAGAGGGAAGAAAAAGAAGGAGGTAAAAGGGAGGGAGGCAGTGGGAACAGGGAAGAGGATGTGATAGAAGAGTTGAGCAGAGAACAGGGATCAGAATTTGGAGAATTCTGGCTGAGGCAGCAAGGATCTGGAGTTTGAAGAAGACCCTGGTAATTTCTGAATTGAACATAACAGTATTGTGTGACTACTAAACTATTTTTTACCCATTACCTGATTTAGTCTTTATAACATGCCAGAGAAGTTGGTATTCCTGTGATGTCAAGGAAGAGTCCTGTGCTCAGAAAAGATGGCTATTAGGTCATTTCCTCTTCCACAGGGAACTTAGAAAGTGGGCTTTTGCATCCAAAGCAACTTTTGGAGCTCTTCCCATCTTCCCAAAGACCTCTCACTTTGTTGGACTAGTCCATACATGTTGGTTTGTGCTTAGTCTTTGGCTTCATCATTCTTTTACTTGGTTCATTTTTCCTAGGTGAGCCAAGAAACATTCCTCGGACCCCTGTCCTCTTGTGGATAAAAAAACACAACCTAAGAGGCCATTATGAAAATAATCAAGAGTAACTGTTACTGATTGGTATATGGAAAAGAGGCATGTTGATAAACATAATAAATGGAATGAAAAGGTCTGAAATTTCAAGAGGGTTGGCTTCTTTTTTCTTTTTGGAGGTACTGGGATTTGAACTCAGGGCCTTGTACTTGCCAAGCAGGTATTTTACCTCTTGAGTCATACCTCCAGCCCCAAGGGTGATTTCTTAATACAAATAAACTGAGATTGTATTAGGGTTCTCCAGAGAAGCATAACCAATAGGCTATGTCTCTGTATATCTATATCTATAAAGAGGTTTATTACAAGGCATTGGCTTAAGTGATTATAGAGGCTAACAAGTCCCAAGATTTGCAGTCAGCAAGCTGGAGATCCACGAGAGTTGATGTGCAAGTTCCAATTAGAGCCCAAAAGCAGGCAGACTCAAGAGCCAACATTTCAAGTTTGAATCTATAGGCAGAGAAAAGCTGATGTCTCAGCTTGATGGCAGTAAAGCAGGAGGAATTCTCCTTACCTGAGAGAGGTCAGCCTTTTCATTATAGTCACCTCCAACTCATAGGATAAACCTGACAAACTTTAGAGGAGGGCAATCTTCTTTACTTAGTCTACTTATTAATATGCTAATCTCAGGCTGGGGGCTTGGCTCAAATGTTAGTGCACCTGCCTAGTAAGTGTAAGGCCCTGAGTTTAAACTCTAGTACTGCCAGACAAACAAATAAATGCTAATCTTATCCTGAAATGCACTTTCCATCATACCTAGAATAACGTTTGACTAAATATATGGCCTGTCCCAAATGGACCAATCAAATTGACAAAATCAACCATCAAAGTGATGCTGCCACATAAAAAGTGAAAATAATGCTCACCAACAAAACTCCACATTGCAAGCAAGTTTACAAAGAATGTTTATTGAAGACAAAAGAAAGAACAGGTTCTAAATAGAAACTAGCATTTTAAAATGCAATACCTGAAAGTTCTATTGCTCAAAATGTAATATGGCTCTCTCTGCAGGATAAGCTAATTATGAAAAAACTAATTTATTTCTGGCATTTTAAAATTATAGCTGATAAGTGTGCTGTTGAGAATTTTTACATGACTACAAAATCATTTGGAAATGGTGCTCCAAAAAAGCACAAGATTAGAAATGGCTTATTTTTGTGTAGAGAAAGGATTTTTGAGAATTTAAAAGTAGACTCCTCAGAATTGGTAACCATGACTACAGATGGAATTCCTGCAGGGGTCAGTGTTCACATCGCATTTATGAAACATAAGCACTATGTGACAAGATTTTATCAAGACACAAAATTTAAGCCAATTTATTTTACCACTGACCAGAAACCACTTTGAGCTCTAAATTTAAAAACTACACAAATAAGAGTGAAGGCATTAATCATGGCCCCCACACAGTTCATGCTCCAAATAGCTGTAGTGGATGCTGAGGAAAATTTACTTACAAATGTCATCCAGGATAGAAGCATCATCGCAGCTTTCCACCAAAGACTGCATCAAAGACTTGGTTCTTTTGGTTGATGACATATAACCCTTTTAAATATTTCAAATACCTTCCCTTTCAAAAAACTGTATGCACCGATTTCTTCATAGGTAGCAATATTGTATCTTTGGAAAACCTATCCATTTTCTGTACTGCAATTGGTTTCCAGATATAAAAATTATGAACTAACTTCATATTGCAGCACAAAACTCTGCAGTTGAAGACTATGGTCTAAAAATACTCTGATTTATACCTTTCAGTTTTGTGATCATATTGCTTATTTTTGCTTTGTCATTTACTACTATTAGTGTAAATGAAAGTTTCAAAGGGAAGTTTTGAACTGCAGTGTATAAAAGTGATAATATTGCACACTAAAATTTTACAAATATCTTGCATGTAGTTATTCTAAATTGGAGGTTAGCCAGCTATGGCCTATGGACAAAATCCAGTTTACCATTTGTTTTTCTATAGTCTTTAGGCCAATAATCATTCTTATATTTTTAAATGGTTGAAAAAATTAAATGTGTTATTCAGCAATGTCATTGTAATTCAACAATGTATTAATGTCAATCATGAACTAATTCATTCTTATAGTCTTAACCACTATCACTCTCATAAATTTTTATCAGAAATAGGAGCAGTACAAAAATCCTGATTGCTCTACCACATAGAAGTTCAGTGGCTTAGCAGAAGTAAAGTTACATTGTGCTTTTTTGAGCTAAGAGTGAAGATTGAACTTTTTCAGAATGAGAACAGCCACCTTCAACCATTATTCTCAAACACTAAATGACTTTAGAAATAACTTTTATGCATAATGCATGCAACATAAAAATTACAAGGAAAAATAATGCATAGTTGTTAAACTTATACTACAATAAAATCATTTCAGTGACAACCAAGTGATTTGAACCACAAGTAATATCAATGTATACTTCTTGTGCTGTTAAAGTTAAAATAAGAAGTAGAATTTTCATCCCTGCAAAGATTTGCAAATATTATATTTTCTTAGCTGAAGCAAAAGCTCCAGCAATGTTTTCTGTTTTTGGGAGGTGGGGTTTCAGCTACATGCAAAGAACATTTCCATTGTTC